TTGATCTTCTGTGCTAGGCATGTGCTCTCCATAACGAACACCATATTTGAGCATAGCGTTGTTCATAAGTGTACTTGGTACCAGGCCATCTTAGGCCAAAGGTCGATTTTATCACATAGTCGGACCTGCTGCTCTATGTGTTGGACATTTGGGTGAAGAGAGGGGCAGAGCTATCAACTGATCACCATCTGAAGGTGAGCTGGATCTGGTGGTGGGGGAAGCTGCCTAATAGACCTGATTAACCCAAATGTATAGTGAGGGTGAACTGGGAATGTCTGGTGGAGCCCCCCTGTCTGTACGACCTTCAACTCACACCTTCAGGAGGGTTTTTCATGTGCCTTGGGGGGAAGTCAGCATCATGGAATCTGAATGGGCCATGATCAGGGCCTCTATTGCAGAGGTGGCTTCCAGAAGCTGTGGTCTAAAGGTCATTGGTGTCTGTCAAGGCAGCAGTTGAAGGACCCACTGGTGGACACCAGTGGTGATGGAGGCTGTCAAGCTGACGAAAGAGGCCTTTAGAACTTGGCTGTCCCAGAGGACTCCTGAAGCAGCTGACAGGTACAGGGTGGCCAGAAGGACTGCAGCTTTGGTAGTTGTGGATGTAAAAACATGGGAGGAATTCAGGGAGGCCATGGAGAAGAAGTTTCGGTTCTCATTGAGGAGGTTATGGCAAACCGTTTGGCGACTCAGAAAAAGAAAGTGGCCCCCTTCCCAAGTCTTTGGGAAGGGGGCCACCTTGCCAGGGTGTGTGGTTTGGGTGGGGGACTGCTGACCTGAACTGAGGATATTGTTGAAGGAGCACTTCAAGGATCTCCTACATCCACCCACCCTTTGAGGAGTCAGAGTCTAAGTCCGCATTAAGAGAAGTTTACAACACCACAGAGGATCGTCTAGGTGTTCCTCAGCTAATCCAATGATGGATCAACAGCTTCTTGACCTCTTCTCATTAAGGCAGAGTGCAGGTTAAAATCTTAACAGGGCCGCACGCTGACTCTGGACAGATTTGAGTAATTCAATTGAATTAAATTCAAAAATACTTTATTAATCCCAGAGGGAAATTAAATGTTGTAACTCATCATCCTGGTTTCATTAAAGAGTTGTTCTAGATGCTGATGTCTTTGGGCAGGAAGGATCTCTTGTAGCGGATCAGAAGAAGCCTCTGACTGAAGACACTCAGTTGGTGTATGACAGTCTGATGAAGAGGATGCTGAGGGTTGTCTATAACGTTCTTCATTTATGAAGAATCCTTCTTTGCACAATCATCTCCAAAGGTTCTAGAGGAGTCCCCAGAACTGAGCCAGCCTTCTTTATGAGCTTGTTGATCTTTTTAAGTCTCTTGCTCTGGTGCTGCCCCATCAGATGATGGCAGAAGAGATGGTGCTCTCTACAACAGACTTATAGAAGATATGCAGCATCTTGTTGCAAACATTGAAGGACTTCATCTTCCTCAAGAAGTACAGTCTGCTCTGTCCCTTCTTGTAGACGCTTCACTGTTGCATCTCCATATAATCCATTCATCCATGTAAGTGGAAGCAGACCTTGGACCTCCCAGAACAGGCTGGATCAATGGCAGGAGAAATTACTGGTTGAATTGGGATCGATGGTGGAAATTGCTCAAAGGGGTCTGAGGTTGTTGAGCTTTCGTTCAGTGACTATCAGGTGAAGATTCGCTGTCATCCAGGACATGACCAGTCCTGGATAAGAAGTGAAATGTCTTTAGCTTCAGAATAGAAGTCCAGTTGTTTAATTAAACTTTTTATGGATTTATCAGGTTAAACGCCTGCAGGTAAATAGTTTCTCTTTTTTAGCATCTTAGCTGTCTGAGGCAGAGCCACTGACACAAACTGTGAAAGTTTTAAGGACAGTCAAAATAATCCTAGACATTTACAATGTATAAAGAAACTTAATCCCACATCTTTGCTTTTTTTAATTGTAAACTTTTTATTAAAATGTTTAAACAAGAACAGCCCAGTGTCACAGCAGTTTAAATTAAAGAAAAGTGCTCAAGAACACAATAAAACTCACAGAGAGTATTCTCCTCACAGAGTCAGACACAGTGTGCTACTTTTATATGAGGTCACATTAAAGGTTAAAGGCTTCATGTGTTACTGCATGATGAACACAATCAACACTAAAAATGACAACGAACAGAAAACCGTTTCCAACACAACAAAGCTGCATGTTAATTCAAACATATTTTACTGAAAAGTTAGAAACGTTAATGTTTTGTGTGTGTAAGATGACATGACGACAGCTGTGTGCAGAGCTTTCAAATGGGATGAAATTTGCACAAATACATTGAAATACAGCATTTCTTCTTGTTTTTTAAACACTGAGTGGTTTTATAGCTGCAAATGGAAATAAATAGGTAAATAAAAAAGTGTTTTTACTTACATCTGGAAGCTTTCACTTTTTTTTTTGGCTTTTCACTGTCCTTGTATGACAAAAAATTTTAAAAACAAAGAAGTATTCAGCTCTGCACCTAAATATTTGCAGCTTTGTTTTCTCAGACTCACCCTCCTAAATGTTATATGGTGAGTTTTTAATTTATTAAAACCATACAAACAAAAACAAGCCGACTCATTATACTCAAGAAAAAATATTGTTCACAAAAACAGAAAGCAAGAAAAATTCTTCAGAGCTGCATAAACGACTGGCTGACATGTAAAATATGCTAACTCGCCAACATACAAGGAGTTAAAAAATGATGATTTGACTTTAGCTACGTTTAGCTGCTGGCCAACTTCACCTTGTTTTCAGCTGTTTTCATAAAGAGACGATCCTGTCCTCACTACAGTTAAACTCAGGAATGTGTTAGAAAACGTTTCACAAACAGAAGCTGAAAATAATTATTGGTACTACTTCACATTAAAAGCCCCTCTATAAAGGATTTATTAATGCTTTATAAACAGGTTATTCACGAGTTTGTAAACCTTTATAAGGCATTAACATTTATTGATAAAACTAAATCAAGTTCACCGTTTGGGTTAAACCAAATTTTAATTAATTCAGGTAAATGTCGTTTATTGCTCAGCTTATCCTTTTGAGCTAAATATTTTTAAAGCCAAAACAAAACTTTATATCTTTTAAGTGTTTATGATGAGCAAAGTGAAGGACTCGATCAGGACAATTAGTGAATCTGGTTCATGGTTTATGTTTTATAAATGACTTTTAATGCTTTATAAAGCATTTAAACTAAACATAAATCGTATATAAAGCATTAATTGTATTTTTATATAAAACAAATTGTATTTTTTTACATTACATATGAATATAATGTTGCACATCTCGTCTCTTTAAGGCAAAGTAAACTCATTTTAGTGCTGGGACTGTTGCAGGGTTGTAAACATTGTTTTATCAGGTTAGTAACTAGTTTAGCTGAATTGCATAGGATTATCCCTTTGTTTTGTTGTATCAGATTAATTTACACTGAAGTGCTTTGTATTAACTGAGGGATGGACCATAGGAACTCCTGTGTATGCAGCTTTTATTGTGTCGGATTGTTGGCATTATAATATAAGCTGTTTTGGGCACAGAGCAGAGACACACAACTCTAGATCCCTTTAAAAAAAATTGTGTAAAACTAGCCAAAGTTTGTAAAATTATCTAAAGTGTAAACAAGTTAGCGTCAGGTGTTGGCCTAGCAGTTCTGAAGACTTCCTGCAAACACAAAGAAATAAATCTTACTGAGAAAGTCTGGCTCTTTGTCCAAGTTTTAAACTTTTATGCTAAACTAAGCCTGTTTTACTACACAGATGTTTTAGAAGATTTAAAAAAAAAGTAACTTGGCTAATAAAACAACCCACCATAGCACAAACATGTATACTTCTTAAAAACAATGTCCAGCGATTCCTTCAGAGTTAACTCAGTTCAATGAGACATCTTTAGGGCTACAATGCTCCAGACACCTTTTTTTATCTGATCTTTTTTTTTTTTAACATTAAAATCCCCAAACAGTGCAGATCATCCTAGGAAAATGATGAAATAGCCACACTGTACCACTAGGTGGCGAGAACACCCACATTGCCAACATAACAAAACTAAAGATTCTCCTACAAGTTGTTTTTCTACTTTCAAATGGTTTACAACTTATCTTAGTAAAGAACCATTTCAGCACAAGATCAAAGTTTAATGGCAGCAGGGTTGGCATGAAGTGAGAAAAACAAATAAAACGTCTCTCGTTTTGGTTTCTGGGACACAAAGTGTTAGAGAGCGAGCTTGAATCAGGCTTATCTATTATTCCACATGGTCACACCAAGAATTATATTTTTAAAAACTTCAACTTTCCTTACCTAAATCCTCATCTGCATGCAGACAAGAGTGGCAAGAAAATCTCAGTTTAAAAAAATACCTGGAGTAATGTGGGCGGGGCTTAAAACCAACTTCAGTTTCAACATTTAAAAGCTGCCTCTGCACTCATAAAGTCCATCACTCCATCGTCTGACCCATCACTGGTCCTCCTCTTGGTTCCCCGCCTCCTCCCGTCACTCAAACCCTCTGGCCTGGTTTCTCCAGCGGCACACCTGCGTCTCTACCACTGAAGTCTCAGACCGTCAAAGAAAAATCAAGCAGGATTTTTACATTGGCCTAGTTGAAATCTAAGCACTTAGCTAGAGCTTGTCACGGCTGTCCAGGCCTAAACCCCTTCAGGACTACGTGAAATATGTAAAACTGAACCCCATCTGTGTATCAAACAACCTTAAAACACTTTAAGAAGGTCTGAGAAGCTGTTCTTGAAACGATGTAAACAACTTTGTGAACTAAAAGTGTTTTATTTGTATCTCCATCTGCGACGTAAACACAAATGAAACACGGCAAAGCATGTTTAAATACTGTCGTTTTGTTTATTTTACCTTTTTTTATTGTCATTTTGGCAGCAATGTGCATCTGCTGAGAGAACAGAGGCAAATAAAAAAAAACATTGAGCTGATTCTTTAACATCTTAACTCATTTATGTAAACTGAGTCAATATGGCGGCATTCTTTCTAAATGCATTACACGTAAACCCATCACCTCCTGAACACCTACAGTACTGTGGATCCCACCTCGCCAGGGTCTTCACATTTAAACATTCTAACATTTGCATTCAAAGCTTCATGTCATCCCTAAAACCTTTAGATCCAAAAGCTTCCCAGCTCAGCTCTGACCTGGCCCCGCTCTTAAGCCATGAAAACAAAAATCCTGAAATTAAATACCAGTCCTTGTGCACTGTCTGCAGCTCCGTCGATGGTTGTACTTATCTAGGAGCTGATGATTTGGCCCGACCAGGTCTCGTGCTTGGTTCCGGGGTTTAGATGGGTGATGACCACCTCAACAGCCTGGACCTTGTGGTTCTTGGGAGGGATGGGGCACACCTTGTATGTGACTTCGTCTCCTTCCATAGGCACGTACTCCCCCTCGATGCTGGAAACAGGAGTGGTGTGGAAAATGGGGATGAAAGTCCAAAGCGTCGCTCAGTCAAAAAAAAGAATAAGTATGCTCAATCATCGAGGTAAATAAATCACAAAAAAGTTAAATCAAGTCATCTGGACAGTTTATTTTTTGAAAGAAATGTTTTGTCTTTCATCTGAAAGACTTCATCAGTGCTTGGTGCACTCATCTGTTGTGCACAGATCTGCATCTGAGGCCTGCCAACAGAATCTGTCGTATTAAATAGCATCTTATGGACGTCAAACCAGTCTGCTGTGAAGTTCCCAGCATGGCTTTACACATGGAGGACCATCAGTCTAACACAATAAACCATTAGTACATAATAATCAAATGTTATAGGCAAAATGGCTGCTTACTACTCACCGAACCAGCCTGAGGACAACCTGGCCAAAATGGTTAAAAAGAAAGTGCAGTACTTTCAGCACTTTTTATAAGTACTTTTTAACCATTTTGGCCAGGTTGTCCTCAGGCTGGTTCAGTGAGTAAGTAATTTGATTGTTATGCACTAATGGTATTTTGTTTTAGACCAATGGTCCTCCATTTTACATGTGTAAAGCCATGCTGGGAACTCCACAGCAGACTGGTTTGAAGCATTATTCAAATTATTTTATTGATAAAGATATTGAAAACTATAATATGAATGAAATAGCTAACAATTTTAATCATTTTTTTTGTAAACATTGGACCTGATTTATCTAAAATGATCCCTGAGCTGCCACATTCTGAACCAAATTTAAATACAATAAACAGGAACCCCAACTCAGTGTTCCTCAGTGCTGTGACTGAAAAAGAAATAATCGACATTGTAAATAAATGTAATAATAAACAGTCTACTGACTCACATGGGATTGATATGAAACTGGTAAAGCATGTCATTGGAGGGATTTCTAAACCATTTACATATATTACTAACTTGTCATTTCAAACTGGTTCATTCCCAAGTAAAATGAAAATAGCTAAAATATTGCCGTTATACAAAAATGGGAACAAACATCTCTTCACCAACTATCGACCTGTGTCTCTGCTGCCACAGTTCTTTAAAATATTAGAAAAATTATTTAATAACAGACTGGAAACATTCTTAGATAAACATAAATTAATCAGTGAAAGTCAGTACGGCTTCAGATCAGGAAGATCAACAATGCAAGCCATTTTAGAAACTGTAGAGGAGATAACTACTGCGATGGATAACAAGAAAATTGCTGTTGGGGTGTTTCTGGACATCAAGAAGGCATTTGACAAAGTCAATCATGATTTATGACTAAAAAAAACTTGAACGCTGTGGGATAAGGGGAGTAGCACTAGACTGGGTTCAAAATTATTTGAAAGGCAGACAGCAGTATGTGAAGCTGCGAGATGTTTGTTCTGGATGTTTGGACATTGTTTGTGGGGTTCCTCAGAGGTCAGTCCTGGGTCCCAAACTGTTTATAATTTATGTAAATGATCTATGTACTGTACCTGAAATAATGAAAAGTATACTATTTGCTGATGATACAAATATTTTTTGTGTTGGAGATGACATGGAACAACTGTTAAAAGGATGTAACTAATGAATTGAATAGACTTAAAATGTGGTTTGATGAAAATAAGCTGTCCTTGAACCTGAACAAAACAAAAATAATGTTATTTGGGAACTGTCAATCACGTACAGAAATTCAAATACAAATAGATGGAGTGAAAATTGAAAGAGTTCATGAAAACAGATTTCTAGTTGTCATTATTGATGATAAACTCAACTGGAAACCACACATCAAATATGTTCAAAGTAAAGTCTCGAGAAGTATCGCCCTCTTAAACAAAGCCAAGTCGGTCATAGAACAAAAAGCATTACATTTACTCTACTGTTCATTAATCTTACCTGATTTAAGCTATTGTGCAGAAATCTGGGGGAATAATTACAAAACTACACTACAGGCATTAACAATACTAGAAAAAGAGCAATAAGAATAATCCATAAGGTGAGATATTTAGAAAGCACTAATTTACTATTTGTAAAATCTAAATTATTAAAGTTCATTGACAAAGTGAAACTACAGACAGCTCTAATTCTTTACAAAGCCAAAAATAAACAATTACGAGAAAACGTTCAAAACCTGTTTAAGATTAAGGAGCAAATTTATAAGTTAAGGGGAATCACAGTTTAAAATATGCAAAATCAAAGCTACTAGAAAAAAAACTTTTGTGTATCAGTAAGTGGAGTCAAACTGTGCAATAATTTGAAAATTGAATTTAAACAATGTCCAAACATAAAACTGTTCAAATGATCATATAAACATGATTATTGCTGGATATAATATATAGTAATATTATTCATTTATTGTTGTTGATTTTTTTTTGTTATTTGTTATTGATGCTTTTGTTTTTGGTGAAGTTAAAGGAATAATAATTGTTCATCTACTTAACTTAAATATATACTATATTGATGGATAAATATGGGATTAGTTGTTATATTTATGGATTATACATGTAATGAATGTAAGATTATGGAAGCGGTTAAGGAGTGGGAATTTTGATAAGTTTATACTTCTACCCACTCCCTTGAATATGTAAAACAAAAAGTTTTGACATTATGCTTCATGCTATTTTTTTTTTCTTTTTCTTTTTACATATTCAAAAAATAATAAACTAAACTAAACTAAGCATGTCAATAAGGTGCTACTTTGCCAGGCCTTAGACTTATGAAGTCTTTCAGATGAAAGACGAAACGTTTCTTCCAACAAGAAACTGTCCAGATGACATGATTTAACTTCATCGCTCAGTCAGTTCAACTGGACATTATTCCCTTGTAGTTGTCTCTTGAAAGAACAGAGCAACGCTAAGAAACTGCAACTTTAGAAAAAGTGTCAAGGAAGTCATCATGCTGTCACTTGACTCGCCAAATAAGACTTTCTTCTCTTGCCATGATCACGGATGCAGCCTAGATATAAAACCATCGTAAACGGTCCTAATTCAATCTTTTGACAACAGAGCCACTCCAGTAACACGGCCCCACTTCATGGATAAGTTACCACCACCCTGATAAACCAGTCACCTTGGTATCGAGGTTTTGTGAGTTTTCAGCCGCCCCCGGCAACCTATCACTCTACATGTGTAATTAACCGTTGTGCCCGAGGACCGCACCAAGACCCTATCAACATGCTAAACATCTGTATCACAGCTGATGCAGTTTTGGTATGAAAAGATGTCCGGTCTGCTTTCAACTTGTCTACTGTAACTGTGGCTGAACAACTTTTTTTATCATCTAGTTCAGGGGTCTGCAAACTTTTTGACCACATGAGCCATTTCTGCCCCTTTCCTTAAAAAATAAAATGTGTCCAGAGCTGCAAAAGCTGCCACAACATATCAACTGGTGGGCCGTGGGCCACTTTGGGTGTGTTGCAGGGGGCTTTTCCAGCGAGTGGGGGCAACATTATAAACCTAAATATATATATAATGAAATTTAGCATTTATTGATATTTTTAAATGCAGCACGGTGGCACAACTGGTAGAGCTGCTGCCTGTCAGCGAACAGGTTGCCCCGGTTCAAATCCCGGTCCGGGGGCCGTTCTGGGTGGAGTTTGCATGTTCTCTCCGTGCATGCGTGGGTTTCCTCCAAGTACTCCCGTTTCCTCCCACATATCAAAAACATGCATGTTAGGCTGACTGGTAACTCTAAATTGTACCTAGGTGAGAGTGAGAGAGTGAATGGTTGTTTGTCTCGTTTGTCTCTATGTGTCCCTGTGATGGACTGGAGACCTGTCCAGTGTGTACCCCGCCTCTCACACAGTGACTGCTGGACATGGGCACCAGCGACCCCCGTGACCCAAAGTGGAAGAAGCAGGTAAAGATAATGGATGGATGGACAAAATAAATAAAAAAATAAATTGTTTATACCGATTTAGATAAAAGTGAAACTGTGATGGACTCTGGAGCTCAACACTCTGGACACCTTGTAGGGCTGTAATTTCTAACCTGGGCCCAATTCGGGCCAGGCCGTAATAATGTGCTGGATGGGTGGGCTGGGACAGTGTCGGGCTTTTGATTGTGTCAGCAAACGCACGCGGCTGATGATCCAATTTTAGGCCTGAATGCAACTCTACCAGGATGTACCCTGCTCTCACACAGTGGCGGCTGGCCACTACAGGGCACTAGGGCGCCGCCTCACCACTCAACAGATTACCTTGAACAAGACATAAAAAATATAAAGAAAAATTAAATAATAAAATAAAAACATTTCGAGATATATGTATAAATATCTTTGTTGTAAAAGATAAATATTTTATAGTTTATGATGAGTAAAGTTGTTTCGTTCAAAAACGTTGTCTCTGATTGATGACATATTTCCACCCTGGGGCGCAAAAATCTTTGCCCATAGACTCTCGTTAAAAGTTGTACATGCGCAGTAACTCCTCTTCACTACAAGGTATAGGACCATTCTGGGCGCTCCTCTCCTGTGCTAAATGCACGGTACAGATTGTTCTTCCGGAACAGATCGTGCAGTGACACTCGCAACAACCAGGCTATTTGTGAGACAGCCAACTGCTGCAGGTGGGCTGTAAGGCATTGAAAGCCCTTTATCTAATGCCTATGTTGCCATTTCTGACCGATATGCCTCTCAACTTTTAGATGTCTGTGAAAAAACCTTCAGCTGAATGTGTATTCTAAAAGTGGGAACTGGTGAGTTTTTGTTTGTTTGTTTCTGGAGCTAGCATGCTAGCACTAGCCTCCAGGTTATTGTATTGGGCTCTGTGATAAATCAGTGCTATTGCTACATTTATTTGAATGTGCTTATAGAAAAAATTATTATCAAACATGAATACTTTTCTATATTAAATTTCACTGATGGTGTTATACTATTTCTGAACACCTGCATTTGTATTGATCTGGATAATGAACAATAAGCCTCTTGCAATAAGTAACTAGCTTCTAATGTTAACACTGAAGCATTTAAATAGAAGGTACAATGAAATGGTGAAATGCTATTGCTATATTGTGTGCTAAGGACCAGTGCAATATTAGGACCTTTAATATTAGGAATATTTAAGAGTACTCAAATATCCTGATGCTTGCTCAATAATCCAGGTAGAAAAATCTAAAAAGTTAAATCTGGTCCTCTGGACATTTAAAAAACAAAAAAAGGAAAGAGAAAAAAAAATGTAGAAACGTTTCGTCTTTCATCCGAAATACTTCTTCAGTCTCAGTCTCTTAAATAGCACCTTCTCAGAGTGGGTCAACCAGTTTGCTGCTGACAACCAAAACGAGCTGCTCACATGGTCAAGAAGGACCATCAGCCTAACAATGGATCATTAGCACACTGATGGCTGTTTACTGTTCACAGAGGGCTGAGTGATACTAGCAATCACAGCATTGTACGAGGGCAGGTGCTATTTATAAGACTGAGCTGAATACAGCACCGCAGACTGAAGAAGTCTTTCGGATGAAAGACGAAACGTTTCTACTTATTTTTGTTTGTTTGTTTGTTTTGTTTTTTGAATGTCCAAAGGACCAGACTTAACTTTTTTAGAGAACTCAAACAATGAGCTTGATTCTAGTTAGGTACCACATCCGTCCAGCAGTCGTCCAGATTAATGTGGGTGTAACTACCAATAAAACTGTTTCATGTTAGTTTTGGTCAAAGTTTCAAGGAGACGGATGTGGCCACAGACCCCTGGTCTGTCTGCAGACCATTAGACGAAGGTCTGCTCTTTAAATTTACTTAGTAAACCATTCCTGGTCCTCAGGGCACCAGTTTTCTGCATGTTTTAGATGATTCCCTGCTCCAACAAACCTGATTTAGGATCAGGGAAACTGGGGATCATTGGTTCCTTGCAAAGTCTTATGTGCAAACTGGTTCATCCCTTGAGTTACAGTCATTTTATGCCTGAATAACTCGTACGTCATAGTAAAACATTCTTCTGAAAATGGGCAAGTAATGGATGAAGAATGTGTGTAAAAGCCAGCAAAGTTGAAAGAAAAAGACCTTCAGAGAGGCTGAAGAACTATTGTTCAAGACTACAAGGATGTCAAATTGCAAAGAAACAACGGGTGACTCAAGACTTTTGCACAGTTATACATTCATTAAGACTGGCAACATTTCTGCAAAAAGATGTGTCAATAAAAGGGCTTCAAGTAAAAAAGCTGCTTTCTACTAGACAATGAGAAATCTTTAGTTTTAACTAGGGATAGGGCCGATCCGATCCAGTATCTGTATCGGCCTCCGATACCAGCATAATTTACGTAGCGGATTTTTCCGATCCGTGATGCATGTTGGCTTCAAACTATGGAATGGATTTCCTGAACGGCGGCGTGTCTCATGAACCAGAGTAATAAGACCCGCCTCACATTCAGGAAATCCATTTCATAGTTGCAGCCAGCTACAACGTGAGGACTGAGTTAGCAGCACTGTGGCTAACTGCTAACAAACTTTTCATCGAAACATGTCCGCTGTGTGGAAGTATTTTACACTAGAAACACCACAAAACAAGACGGCAACGTGCAATGTCTGCAGAGCCATAGCACCACATTAAACCACATTAAAGTTAGTTTTACGTTGGACATTCGAGCTCCGTGGCTTCAGCGGGGCGCTGCTCTTTGGTCAAACCGAAAGAGGCGACTTGACCTCGGCCAGCTGCGTCCAATCTGCCACGCTCAGTCTGCCCGTCTCTGAGGAGGGACAGACTGAGCGCGGCTGCCCCAAATCAGGCCGCCTGCTTCGGATTGAACAAGAAGAAGACGTCGCTGAAACCACGGAGCTAAAATGTTTACAGAGAAGTTGCTAAACTTCATAATTAATGACCAACCACTATCAGTTGTAGAAAACGAAGGATTTTGCAGCTTGATACTTGCAGTGAAGATATAGTTTACCCTCCAGGAGATATTTATCAGTACAACAGTAGACAATCATAAAAAACATGATTTGAAAATTATATATATTAAAAACAAAAAACAGCTACATTATAAAGTGATGTAAAATACTAAAAACAGGAACATGTCTGTTGGTTTATGTCATGAACTTAGCAGGTGTTTGAAGCCATTTAACATTTAATTTAATTCATTTATTCATTCATTTAAAAGAAACAAAATAAAAAAAATCATCAAAGAGAAAATATTGAATGAAAAGAGTGCAGAAAGAAGAAAAATAAATCTTATATTTGCCCCTCATTTAAAATAATATAAAACAACTTTCAACAATCACTTAAATTAATCACTTTAATATCCACTTTAAAACTAGGAATAAAAATAAACATGTTTTGTGTTAGCAGAATTTAATTCTAACTTTAAAACTTATCCAACATTAATAAAACTTACCTCAAGTTGCCTTTTTGGACATGCATGCATATATTTGTACAAATTGTACTTGAGAGGAGATTATTACAGCCTCGTATAAAATCAATGATCATGATATCGGAACTGGATCGGTATCGGCAGATACTCAGAGTTAGGTATCGGATCGGATCGGAAGTAAAAAAAGTGGATCGGTGCATCCCTAGTTTTAACCATTTCTGGTTCAACAGCATTTTTATTTGTGTGCCAACGACCTTGGTTCGACTCAAATAAATTCACTTCACTATAAATAGTCATAAAATAAATCCTACTCAGTGACATGACTCACTCAGAAATGTGGACAAAGATGTCCTCTCCTCCGTGAGTAGGACGTAGGAACCCGTGACCCTGAGACCTGGAGAAGTTTTTACACACCCCTTTAAATACAGGCCCTGACCTGGCTCTTACTGTCCTGCAGGGGGGAAATGGACAAAATCACAAAGAGACAAAAAATATTTTAGTTTTTCTTTAAAACAAATGTTAAGACGGATGGTAGAAATGTTCGTACTCACGCTGAGTATGTTCGGGTGCGTTTGGTGGGCAGTGGACTGGGCAGCTCTCCAGGCTTCATGGGCTTACTTTCCCAAACACGACTGCCTTCTCTCAAGAAGGGGAAGGAGAGCTGCAGGGGCGTACGTGGAGACGTCAGAGGCAGCCGGGGTTCTGTCGGCAGTGAGGAGCCGGCGTCTGACATCTTGACTCGTTGAAGGTTGGGGGGGTTACCGTGGCACAGGGAGAAGTGGAGCGTGGAGGATTACACCTCCTGCATGGCACGAGTGATTGTCACGGCAAGGAGTCCAGACAGCAGCTTCTTCCAGGTGGTGGAATCAAGTGACCGCACCCTGTAGAGAAGACTATCACAGGAAGTCTTGGTCAGAAAGTTGCTGAATTCTTGTAGCCATTTTAACTATCATTGCAGGTGGTGTAAGAAAAATAAAATAAGAACGGAAAAACTCCAAATTTGATTTAAAATCAACCTCTTCTCGGTTCGACTCAGACTATTCAGTCAAAATGGTTACTAAAGTAAACACTAGAGAAATAGCATTTCCTGTGAATGAAGAACATGCTGAAAAACAGCTCTGCAACCGTGGACAAAAAGGGCAAAAATACCAAACAATTCAATAAATTAATAAAACCTGAAAGCTAAAAATGCCCCACTGCAGCATATTCTTATATAAAAAGAATAAACTCCTTATCTTAATGTCTCAGGATTACATGAACTCCTTCAGTGGTGATGCCGACAGAAGCAGTCATTCTTCTCAGTGACAGCTGATGAAGGCGTAGCTTTAAATAATTCACACTCTGCCTCAGCGCCTCTTTTTTTTTTAGCTTCCCTTAGAGGCGCCGAGTTGGGCTGTAATGAGTCTTCTGTGGACGTTTCACATGCGTTCAAACAAAAGTCTGCCAGTTCTGGACTGGAGGAAATGGGAGCTTTCAGGAGCAAAAAGGGAGAACAGGGCCAAGACCAGTTCTGTGTGTGAAACCAGGACACAGAGTCCATCAGCATGAGACACACGTCAGCTCCTTCACGCTGAGACCGTGAGGCGACGTTCGAGGAACTATGTTCTCTGTGCTGAACGACAGCTGAAGTTTACCGAAGAGGCTGAAACTGAGCTGGTAATGCTAAAAGAAGTAGACCATGAGCTGAAAGATACAAGAAGCAAAGGGACAACTAAAAGAAGCTAAACTGAAATCTAAATGTATGCTAAAACTAGCTGAATGGTATCCAAAAGCAGCAGCATGTTAGCTAAAGGCAGTGCAGTGTTCTCCTAGATCAGTTCCACTGGCAGGATGCTCGTTGCATTTTTTTTTTTTTTTGTCAACGGAGGGTGGGGGTGGAGGAGGACAGGATGGAGTCACGTCTGTGTTGAGAAGAGGTTCTCTGCAGGCCATAAGTGGGCGTTTCTGGAGAATAGGTGTTTGTGGGGGGCAAACACTGATTGGCTAGCTGTATTTGTTGCTCTTTAGTTAAGTTACGTCAGCACTATTTTAAAACTGAAGGTTTCTAAGAAACAGCGTTATATCTACTGTCAAACACAAGAAGATTCTCTTTAGTCCTTGGGTTGTAGGCTGCACCTGACACAGGTCGCCTTGAGTGTGGTCTGGGTAAAATGAAATATGAAGCATCTGAAGCGAAACCTGCTCCTATTTGTCAAAAAGTCTGGTCTCAATTAAAGATCATGAGTCCTATGACGAGATAATGACCCAAAACAAACGCTAAAAACAAAATTAGCTCTTTAGAAGTTCTTCTATGAGATCTGATCTATGAAAGGAGCTGAAACATGGAGTAGGACTGACCCTTAAAATCCGAGACAGCTGAGGAAGTGAACCAGTAAACAGAAATACCTGTTCCAGTTGCAGAAATCTTACAGAAACTGACAATCACTCATCTGCAGTGACTGTTTTAAAAGGTTGAACAAGAAAATGTGAAGTTAAAGGAAACATCCTTTGTCCCAAAGCCAGTTTAAGTATCATTAATATTTTGGTTACTTTATTTTTCTTTCTTTATGAATCGATTGTAACCATTTTCACATTTTTCAACAACCAAAATGGATTTAGTTTTTTTTTAATGTAATGGCTAGGTATTCAAAAACAAACATTTAATGTTGCTCTTATTTTGAAATGTAACTGGAAGTTCTGTGTTAAGAGAAGCGGAAAGAGAAGTTATGGAGACGCCGCTAATGTCGAACCGGTTAACACCATAGACATATGTCTGTGGTTAATACAAACAGCTTTTTTTCGTTCAGCATTTTTTTTGTCCAATCAGATGTGGCCCGCCAGACACGCCCACTTTTCTATCGTCCAATCAGATGTGGCCCACCAGACACACCCATTTTCCTATAGTCCAATCAGATACGCCCCGCCCCCCCCGGATACACCTCGTCCAATCAGATATGGCCCCTCAGATACACCTTCCAAATTTGTCTGCAGAGATACCTACTTGTCTGTGTTGCCCGCCTGCTAGCTTAGCGCTATGTTTCTGCTGGTTTTAATCGATGGAGCGCAGGGGCAGAGCTGTATGTCAGTAGCATTTTTGCACATTTGTATTGCGCCCTGAGCTACATCAGTACCGACAGTTGTCTACGGTGTGTGTGTGTGTGTGTGGGGGGGGGGGGGGGTGCGGGTTCGGTAGGCAGGGCGCTCGGTTCTGTTGACGGGGCAGGGCAGTGTTGCCAGGTGTACGATAATTATTGTATTTGTACGACAATTTTGCCCTCTGTACGATGCACGATCAATAATCCCAAAAAAGGCCAAATATATGATAATTTGACCATTCCGTGAATGTGTGGTTGTAATCGGTTGTCATCAGCCTCTCGCAACTGTCTGAGTTTTTTTGTGAACCCTGAAGGCATCTGTGTCCGCAAACAGATGCACAATTGGCTGAAAATTCCAGCAAATCGTGCTTTTCTAAATGTGACCTTCGAGTGACGTATTTCCGTTTGCCTCAGAACAACGGCCATGATTGGCTGAATAGTCCGCTGCGCCCGCCCCATGAGTGAGGAAAAGAAAAGAAGAAGCAGCAGAGCGTCTGGAAGCGGACCCATCACTACTATAGTGCATCAATAGATTTGTTATTTTGGTTATGACAGGTGTATGATAATTTCCCTCGAAATACGATAATTTTATGTCCCTAGTACGATAATCCTACATTTCTCACCTGGCAACACCGGGGCAGGGGGCCCTACTTGTAAAATGGGAGGGGAAACACTGCAGTAAAATGCTGAAATACTGCAGCAAAAGCTAGCTAAAATTTACAAAATTATAGCTAAAAGTAGCAAATGGCTAGCTAAAAGCAAAATAATAACCAAAGACAAAAAACTATGGCAGAAAAACAGTAGTGAAAAGACAAATGGAGCAAAATAGTAGCTAAAATAAGCAAAAGCTTAGCTAAGAGCTAAAGCATAGAGGTTAGTTAAACGCTACAATGAACTTGCTAAAAATAAAAATAACCAAAGGGTAGTTAAAAGCTAAAAGTAGTAAAAAGCTTACTAAGAGCAAAAGGCTAGCTATATATAACACAAGCTAAGTTTAAAAGGAAAAGGTAACAATTTGTTGGCTAAATGCCAAAAGTAGCAGAATGAGTGCATAAAGCTAAAAGTAGCAAGAGGTTACCTAAAAACAGCAAAATGTTAGCAAGGGTTAATTTAAAAAACAAAACAAGAAGCTAGCTAAAATTAAACGCAGTAAAAGAGTAGCAAAAAGCTTGCTAAATGCTAAATGTAGCAAAGGGCCAGCTAAGAGCAAAAATGATCAAAATCCTAGCAAAAAGCTAAAACTAGTAAAATGATAAGTAAAACAAGCAAAATGATTGCCAAAAAAACTAGATTAGCTGAAAGCATCATACAAGGAAAAAGCATCAGGTAGCCGCAGCAGATTTAAAACAAATTATTTTTGAAGGAAATGGAGATCTTAATGCATTTCTATGGAGGCAATGTATGTAAATAAAGTTAAATAATTTTAAAAGTACAGAAGTTACAAGAACCAAACACCACAGCAGCCATCCCATAAACAAGCTGAACATTGTGACACATGAATGGTTAAAATTACACAAAGTGCATAAGTTAAAGATGACAAAAACATTCTGAACAATAAGAGACAGCAAATATGAACCAAGCTGCATTAGCTGTGCTTTACTCAGTCAGAGGAGCAGAGACTAAATAATTCATGGCAGGAAAAATAACTCCTGCAGGCGATTTGTTTCCAGAACCTTCTCATGCTGTGGAGCATCAAGACAAAACCCTCCTTCAGAAAAGAACCGTCCATCAAAGGGCTGGTCTGGATAACAAGCTGCATCACATCATGGTTGATTTAAATACAACAATAAACCGAGTTAAGCCGGGTAGAAGCACTGCGTGTGTAAAAAAGATAAATTACTCACCAACAAATGAGCGATCAGACGTCAGTCGACATGAAACGATTTCTACTTCTTATTTAAGACCAATGGCAGGGGAATGTGCGAGAACGGTGCGTGTATCAGTGCGGATGCAGCGGCATGGAGGCAGCAGAGATCACTGATGGGGCGGAGGTGCAGGGAGGAGGACGGGGGAGGAGGGGGTCTGGAGGACCACAGGGACCTCTTTGTTATCAGCAGACAGCAGCAGGAGGTTCCTCAGAGCTGTGAGGCCATGCTGAAGCCTCCCGGTGGCGACATTGTGCTGCTGATGATCTGAACGTAGCAGCATTTTATTATTCTCATCATCAACTGCAGGCCCTCAGACAACTTTAGGGCCACATGGGAAAGGGTGGAGCAGTCCAAGTAGGGCAGGGCAGTCCATTTTTATTAAGCATTCACAGTGATCCTGTTAATGTTTATTGTGTGAATGCTTACTGAACATTCACACATTGTGAACCTATTGTGACTTCTAATTCTTCTGTACATTTTTTGGCATCTTTCCACAATTTTTGTGCTGTTTTAACAATTCATATATAAAAATATTCAGCTCTTTCAGGAGAAAGGTGCTATGACTTTTGGTATTGGTGTAACTTTAGCTTTTGAAATATTTATTCATTCAACCTTTATTTAGACAGGTAAATCCCATTGAGCCTTGAGGAATCATTTACAAGAGAGACCTGATTTCAACAAAGAATGATGACAACAGTGGACAACAGCAACAACAATAAACAGTTATAAAAAGTCATACTCCAGTTTTTAATTTTTTTTTAAACAAATAGGATGGCAAAAAAAAAAAAAAAAAAAGGTAACAAAAAAACAGCTAGATTCTAAGGCGAATGTAGAAAAATAAAAACAGGAACATGTCAGCATTGGTCCCTGCCAGGAGTCCAACAGATTCTTAAAGCCACTTAGAGAGGTCAAGGTCGAGAGCTTCAGATCTTTTTGTAAGATATTCCAGGAAACAGGAGCGGAGTAGGAGAAGGCCCTTTTGCCTAGTTCAGTCCTCATTGAGGGAACACTGCAGGTAATAATGTCCTGAGAGCGCACGCCGTAGCTGCACTCACGCAGAGACATGTATGAGGAGATGTATGAAGGCAGCAGACCAAGAAGTGATTTAAAGATGAAAATGTACCAGTGAGAGAGTCTGCGTGAAGTTAATGATGTCCAGTTAACCAGTGAATACAGGGTGCAGTGGTGGGTACGATAATGACAGCCAGTTATGAATCTTAGTGCACCATGATAGACAGCATCCAACATCTGCAGGGTTCTTGTGGGAGCGTTCATGTAAATAATGTCACCGTAATTAATGGAGGGATGGAAAGTCACAGATACAAGGCGTTTTCTAGCATTCAGAGTTAGACAGGATCTATTTCTGAAAAAGAAACCCAGTTTAACTTTCAGTTTCTTTACCAAGTTTTCCACATGAGCTTAAAAGAGAGATGCGAGTCGACCAAGATACACAAATAATTATAGGAATCAACAAACTCAATGGGGACACCATTTGAGGATAAAATCGGAGGAAGAACTGCTGGGACCAACTTCCTATTTGAAAAAAGCATCCCTTTGGTTTTGTCGGCATTTAGGACAAGTTTGAGACGGAACAAATCTGTCTGGATGTTGTTGAATGCAGATTTCAAAAGCTGGAAAGTCTTATCAACTGTTTTAGCTCGACAAACAACTGTGTCGTCAGCATAGAAATGTATGGATGCATTAGGGATGTTTTTACCTACATTATGTATGTAGATTGTAAAGAGGGGGGGTCCTAAGACTGAGCCTTGTGGTATACCATTGTTGACTGTTAAATAACTGGAGGAAGTACCATTATGTTGAACACATTGGTCTGAGAGATAGTTAGAGAACCAACCAGTGGTGTGTTCTGAGAAACCAATTTCTGAGAGTTTATGACACAAGATGTTATGATCCTCAGTGTCAAAAGCTTTAGACAGGTCTAAGAAAAGTGCAGCACAGTAATCCTTAGCATCCAGTGCTTCAACAACGTCATTAAGAACCTTCAGTGAAGCAGTGGTTGTGCTGTGTTGTTTCCTGAAACCAGATTGATGTGGAGGTAAGATGTTAAATGAGTCCAGGTAATTTTTGATTTGAGAATTTATCAGTTTTTCTAGAACCTTGGCTAAAATGCAGAGTTTAGAGATTGGTCGATAGTTGTTCAGTGAGGTGGGGTCTCCTCCCTTCAGTAAAGGAAGAACAAAGGCTGTTTTCCAAGTGTCTGGGATGGAGTTTTGTCTTATGGAGAGATTGAAGATGTGGGTCACAGGGACTGTGATGATATGAGCAGCCAGCCTTAAGAAATAAGGTGGAAGTTCATCTGGACCTGCAGATTTTTTAGGATCAAGACCTTTTAACAGTTTATTGACCTCACTGACTGAGAATGGAGAAAAAGAGAAGCTGTGATTAACTGAGGATTGGCTTGTAGGAGGGATTTGATTTGTAGAAGTTTGGTTATTAAGTGAAGTGGCTGATCTTCCATTAGTAACTGTGTCAAATAAAGAACTAGAAGCAACAAAATGTTTGTTGAAACATTTCAGGATCTCGTGCTTATTTGACACAGGAGCAGAGTTAACGAGAAGTTGTGATGGGAGGTCAGAATGATTGGGGGGTGCCTGAGAGAGATTTGATAGTTTTCCAGAATCTGTTAGGGTCATTTAGATTTTTGGAGGTCTGAGATAAGAAATAGTTGTGGTTTGCTGCTTTAACAGCAGTTGTGCATTTATTCCTCATCTGTCGAAAACTCAACCAATCAGTGTCCGAGTCAGATTTTCTCGCTGCGGCCCAAAGATGGTCTCTCCTGTGCAGGAGGTCAGCTAGCTCTGGAGTAAACCAGGGGCTGTCTCGTCCCTTTATTCTGAACTGACGAAAAGGAGCATGTTTGTTCACAAAATAAATGAAACTATTAATTGAACAGGAAATTGATGGATGGATAAGTGATGTCTATTAAGGTTTTTGCTTTTTCTCTTACGTCACCTGGATGATGCTGCACGGAGAATTCAAGAGTTGCAGAGACAAGTTTTGTCTCGAGAAATGGAAATCCAGACAATTAAGAAGTGCCCTCCTGTGTGTGTGTATACATACGCACGCACGCACGCACGCGCACACACACACACACACACACATACATATACACAGTGAAGAAAATAAGTGAACACGCTGCAACTTTGCAAGTTCTCCCACTTAGAAATCATGGAGGGGTCTGAAATTTTCATGTTAGGTGCATGTCCACTGTGAGAGACATAATCTAAAAAAAAATCCGGAAATGATAATGTAAGATTTTTAAAAACAATTTATTTGTGTGTTACTGCTGCAAATAAGTATTTGAACACCTGCCAATCAGTTCTGGCCCTCAAAGACCTGTTAGTCCGCCTCTAAAAAGTCCACCTCCACTCCACTGATTATTCTAAATTAGAAGCACCTGTTTGAGGTTGTTAGCTGCATGAAGACACCTGTCCACCCCACACAATCAGTAAGACTCCAACTACTAACATGGCTAAGACCAAAGAGCTGTCCAAAGACACCAGAGACGATTGGGAAGCGGACTCAGTCGGCATGCGAGTGAGGAGCTGGAGGGAGCAAGATGAGTCAGCGATCTGGTAAGGCGGTTGGCAGCGACTGGGCTGTGAATGAGCAGGAGGTTACAGAGGGTAATTTTGGATCAGGAAGTGAGTCTGAAGAAATGGAAGAAGATAGTGGTAGAAATGTAGAAAGTGGCGCTCATCCCCATTATCTGTACACCGTCGTAAAGAACCTGCAGAAAGATCAATGAACACATTCTGTAAAGAAACTAAAAGGATTGCAACAACAACGGTAGGGACACAGACCCTGCGCTGTTCTGCTTCTGTGCAACGTAGAGAGTTTTGGTGAGGAGCAGCTCCAGCAGGTATGCTCTTCCAGAACCTCCAACCATGTGTAACTCATCTACCACCACCATTCCTAGCAGAAATAATACAGTTTTGCCAGCACTGGTGGGTGCTAATTAAAAAAATAAATAAATAAATAAAATAACAGAAACATTCATATATAATTAATAATGTTAATAACTATAAATATTAAACAAGTAGTATAAATAGGTAGTATAAATAGTTATTTATCTGATAAATAATAACTATCTGAGGAGCAGACTGCTTTGAATGTAACGCAGAGCTAATCTTATAACAGAATTAGCTTTTTACTTGAGAGCGACAGTCACATTAAAATAAAACTAACACCAGTACGCAACAGGACACGGTTTGAAACATAAAATAACGTATTATAAATCACATTTAGTCTGACTGAAAGCTCCTAAATGTTCATGACAGGTGGCTCAACAGCTAGTAGCTAGTTAGCTTCCCTGCTAACAGCTACTGAGGGTTTATCCAAGAAAGTTCAATCTGGTCCTCTGGTCCAGAGAACCAGATTGAACTTTCTTGGATTTTTCTACCTGGATTATTGAGCATGCATCAGGATACTGAGGGTTTAGCGCAGCCAAAATGTCCACACTGGAGTGGAGGTAAAACACTGAGCAGTTGATCCCCACGTACAAAGCTAAAGCTGAAAGCAGCAAACATGACCGCAGCTTCACAGCAGCTGCCATCTTCACTTGAAATGTTGCCGCAGGGCGTCAAGACTCGGTAGACTCCGCCTCCAGGACCCGCTGCGTTTTTCACTGCAGCTCCTCTATTATTTTACCAGGGGGCGACAAAGAACCGCACAAGACGTGATGACGTCAAGAGCGCGCTTCGATTTCCCATCATGCATCTGTTCTTCAACAGCTAAAACTGAAGAAAAATCATTGAAAAGAAGAAAAGCACATGTTCAAATTGATGCTGACTACTGTTTTTTCTTTCTGTGTTTAATTTGAACCCAGAATTTTTATGTTGGAACCCTAAGTCTAAATCGTACTTGAAAATAGGTACATAAAAGCCGCTTTGTGAATTGTGTTTGGGCTGGTCGTTGTGGCTTATGGGGGACGGCATGACCATGGACGAAGAATCGGGCTGATATGCCAAACCCAGCGCATGACGCACAACGCGCATAGGATAACAGATGCACGAACAGGAGGCAGCTTCGTGCGCGTGACGTTTCGTGTACTTGACTGTTATGACATGACTTGAATGCATGAGCAGTCTTTGCGCCTTGTTGCACATGCGGGCGTAAACGACACCATCCCAAATAT